GCAGGGACAGTGCTGAGACCCCCAGACATTTGGGTTTTCATAGCAGGGAAGCAACACAAAACGACAGACAATGCCAGAACTGTTGATGCACGTTTTATGGTTTTATCTTACACGGGAAGACAAGAATTTCTTCCTAGTCTTGAGGAAGTTCTGAACCTTAATTAAGCCACACAGATTGGATGAATCAGCAGTAACCTGTGCCACCAGCTTATTCTGAAGTAGTGATGTTGCTTGCTGTGAGGAGAATGGGATGGAGGAGGCCAACAGGCAGACACTTGCAGCTCTACCTACCGCCACAGATACGCTGAGAAGAGGGTTCACCTATGTAAACAACAAAGACTTAAACAATAAAGACAACAAAAAGAGCTTTTGAAAATACATCCCAAAAGTTAGACACATAGTTCTCATGCAGGCCACAGTGAGAGGCTGGTGCAGACTGCATCCTTCTCCATGCTGCAAAATCCCAAAACGCTCCAGTCACTAGTACAGTCACATTCACAGACAAATGTGAGAATTATTTTGTAGATTCCTGGCCAAGAATTTTGCTCTCAAAGCACTGGGCTTTATAATTTTAACTGAGTAGAGAGTTTAAAAGACTACAGGATATAGACAAAGACAGAAAATCAGCCATGTGTGTTTCTGGTACCTCAACCAGGTCAGCTTTGCTGCAGGTTTTTCTCTCATGATTAAAACGATTCTTTCCCCTCAGAGTATCTATAATCCAAACATGATGAGTTTGCTTAGGTAGAACATCCTTAGCTGCTTACTTCTGCATTTTGTGCAGAATTTACATAGCAAACCCCACTACATAAGACATGCAAAGCAAACAGTAGGTTGCTCTGTGGGGCAGCATAGTTCAACCATAATTATCCCTTAGTCTCTGCTCAGAAGACCACAACATTCCTTAAAGCCAAAATCTTTAGAAAGTTTAATCTTCTCAAACAGGGAAGTGAGATATATGATAGCTGACAAATGTTTGCTCTCCCTTTTTAGTGTTCATTTATTTAAGGAGTATAGAAATGCAATCCTTATTCTCATGTGGAAAATAAGGGTTTATTTACTTTACTCCATCAGTTAACTGACTTTGGTGGATCCTATGCAAACGCAAGAAAAATGTATCCCAGTGAAAAATGTGTTGGGTTTTTGAGAGTTTGACCTTGTGAAGCACTTTGTATTTTCAAAAATATCCTTTATATAGCATAGAAACTCTTTAAAAAGCCATGTCTCATACTGCCTAGAAATGCAAAGGTCTGGACATTTTAATATATATTTAATATATTTTATCATGGGACAAATAAATAAAAAGGATGAAGAACTGCAGGTATTTATTCCTTTTTTCTTTTTTTTTTTTTTTTCTTCTCAGGAGACAAGCTCTAAATTGACAGGGATCTGGCTGATAAAAGGGACCCACCACACATAGGTTAATGGCTACATTAGTGATGCAAACGCAGCGAGCCTGGGCAGCTGTTGTTAGTCTGCTCACCACCGCTCTCCGTGGCACCAGGCACCTCAACCACATCTGTAGTCATCGCTGCAAGTGCAGAGGGTCACCCTTAAGAACAAGGTATGGCAAAAGCCCACATATTGAATGTCCTTGTCTAGGAACTAAAACAGTTCTGACAGACACTGTACTACAGCTAGTCACTCAAAGATACACAGATTGAATACCACAAGAAAAAGGAAGTAATTACCCATGAAGGAGAGCATTTTGTTGCTATGTACTACTAATCTCTCCATAAAAATGAATAAACCTTATACAGTGAAGAACAGCTGGTGCGATCCAACTGTCCTACTAACGCAGTAACAGTAATTAATGATACCTGTAATTCTGACTTAATATCACATACCCACAAGTGCTAAAATGTATATTTCCTCAAATACTCTATTTTCCTGGACTACGACATAAAACCACAGTCTTCCTAGACCATTTTTATGAGAAGACTCTCTCTCCTGTTTTGTGATTTTGGATAAGCATCTGCTTACTCTATCGTCCACTGAAAATAGACACAAAAACAGTTACACTTGATGCACATCCAGTTGCCAAAAGTGATCAAAATGTCAGACCTATTAAGACCTCACTAGCTGAAATCTGTTTCCTTGGGAGGCAATGTGTATTGCTTTCATTCCTATTCCAGCTAAAGAGTGGGAAAGCACTGATGAGGTCAGTTAAATCCCATTTGCACAGTGAAAATGCTTACTAAAGCCCAGCTGATTATTCTTGTGCCAAATCCCCGGGGACAGCAGCAGCAGTACAAGAGTGTGTGGAATGCTCCTCATTTGGCTTTCAGCACAACTGTTCAGAGATTTACTGGAGCAGGTTAGGGTTCCCCCCAGTACACCTCTTCTCATTACCATCAGGATCTTCAGGGTGCCATGACACAGCTGGGGATGAGAGGGGCAAACCTTTCAACCTTCCTCCACAAGCTCACATGAAGCCACGTTGCTCAGTGTGGCAGCAATAGGTACCCACACCATCACACAGGCCTTCAGAGACCAAGAGTAGCAACATTCATGTCTCATACTCCAGCCAGAAATTCTCTGAGACAGTGGATGCAAGGGGACAGCAGCATGGCTGTGTCCTAAGGGAGGGAGAGTCCAGGACTGACCTGTGCCTGCACCAGCTGATGCTCTCAGCTCCCTTGGGAGTACTCTGACTGTTTTTCAAGTGACAAAACTGCGGAACATTAATCTAAACACAAAGCATGCAAGATACACTTGTAACAAAAAGTGCTCTTGGTCAAAGGCAAGTGAGTTTTCTTCAGCAATACAGCTTTGTGCACTTTCTTCCTTAGCTTATTACAGCAAAGCACAATCTTAGTACTATCCATATTATACACCTGTCAGCTTGCTTTACCTCTGCCAGTCATGAGAGATGATGAACAATCTTGTTTACCATATGGATACATCATGTAAAGAAGAAACAGCATTGCCTGAGCACAGGAGGCATCCAAAATATGCTTGACAGTACTCACACGAGACAGAAGCACTCAGTGCTACTGGGCAAGAAACTATCCTGACCTGCCAGGTCCGTCAAAGTGCTTCATATAAAATAAAGTTTTACAAAACCTTCATACTTATTTTAACACTTCTGGAAGAGTTACTTAGTATTGCCCACATTGCCGCTTTTCAAAAGCAAAACTTCTTGGAAACTTGGACCTGGCCTTTTCACAGGACTGTACAACATTTAGACTAAATCGCCTTTAGTACATGGTACAATTTCAGTACAAAATTGGGTTGCACTTCTGTGTGCTTAATTGTGAACTTCCCTACAAGGGGCAAATCAGCAAATTTCAAATCAGCAGTGGATACCCCATATTATCCCCAATAAGGACACATTTTCCCTTCATGCATTTACAAGTAACAGTCTCATGACATTTCAGCTAAAGGGATAGATCAAAGTTGTGAGTCAGCACTGGGGAAAAGATGGGAGCCCCTATCAACACCACGCCACATGAGATGAATGGGGACTCCTGTGTCAAAGCAAGAGCCAAGGGTGAAACCTGTATTTGGCAGAAGGCAGAAGGCAGTATTTCACCCTTTGCACCTGCTCAAGTGAGTCTTGATCACACATGTCTTCTGGATTGTCAACTTCCTTTGAAGCCACTGGGAGTTCTGCACGGAGACGGGTTTCAGCATCCAGTTTTGCAACAGATGCAATTCAGTGAGCACTTCATATAAAGAAGGAAAGCAGCAGTGTGAGTAAAGGGAGGGAACTAACTGTTCCATTGTGTTAGTATTTTAAAAGACTATCTACACAACCATGAAAATTTAATCTAAAGAGACAATGCTGTGGTACAAAAAAGTTTATTTAGTCACAATTTTGTAAACATATGAGGTAAATTAACGTTTACATCAACTTGCTTCTTACAGAATTTAATATACAAGGCACTTTGTTGAAGACAGCACTTTTAACTGTTTGCTGGTTTTATTGTTCTACAAGTTCCTGACAGCCCAGAAAACTGGTTATGTTTGTTGTGAGATTCTGTCATGTAAAAGACAAACATCTGGAAAGCCACAAGAAAGTTCTGAGTAAGCCTTCTTATGCTTTACAACCCATTTACTGTGAGAAACAGTGGCAAAGTATATTCTCCACCTTAAAATATGCTCTCATATCTTGCATAACTCTTCAAGAACTGAAACTTTTAGAACTACATTGGTATCTACAGCAAACTTAAAAAGCAATCTACAGTTTCTTTTTCACATCAATATTTTTTGCTTACGCAAATAGTCCCATTACCTTTAATGGTCTTATTTGCAAAAGTTAAAATAACTCGCAAGAAATTGTATTTGCAGGTTCAGAACCATATTTTTGCATAGAAAGCAAAACATTTATTTTTTGTAAAATCTTCTACAGTGTAACAGTGCAGTGTTTATCCTCAAGTATTTTGTTTGGAATTTTAAGCCAGGCTGTAAATTTAGCTCTTAAAGGACTTATGTCACAGCTAGTTTTTGTCGTTGAACCTCTAAACACACAGGAAGGCATATGAACAATAACGAACCTTAGTTTATTTGGTAATAATTGAGCTCATGATGAAAAGTATCTTTTTCCATAGTGTGCTCCCTATTTATCCAACTCCCATATTTCAAATATACAGAGAGCTGATACTATAGATCAGAGACCAGGTTAAACTGTCTTTAATGGTACTGCCTTATATCTAAAGAGTTCCTGTGTTATAGTAAGACATTTCTCTCTTAAGTTTAACACGTTGGTAGAGTCATTCTTTTACTTATTATACAAATGTAAACTTAGAAAGCAGTTTATTTCATCCAAATGTGCAATCTGAAATCAAAAACTGAATGTAAACTTCAGAAAATCAAAATTACAAAAGCACACTTTTCACAAGAAAAATCAAAGTAGAACATCTGGAAATAAAAAAAAAAAAAAAAAAAAAAAAAAAAAAAAAAAAAAAAAAAAAAAAAAAAAAA